ATGCATGTGCACAGATAAATTAAAAAATAAAAAGAGGTGCTTGCATTTCGTAGTCATTCTCCTACCTGGGGCCCTGACATAATGTGTGATGAGACGGTGTTGGTGTTCTCCGCCAAAAGCCCCACCTCCTTTTATGAACAAGGTTTTAAAATTGGCTCTTAACAGTGGGAAAGAAACCAGCAATAAATTGTCCATACTATGATAAAGTTACAAGTTACACAGAACTAAGCTTTTTCCCACATAAGAATTAATGTGATTATGGTATCTACTACTTGTTAGTTGGAGGGATGTGGGGGGAAGAGGGGAATGTTCCCTAAATTAGAAGCTTAGAACCTTCTTGTTCTTGTTCTTTTATGATAGAAGTAAATATCTGTGCTATGTCTATGTGTGTTGTTTGTTTCCTTGTTTGTTTGTTTGTTTTTTAGTTTAGACGGTATCAACATCAGTATAAGCCCTGGAATGTAGGCATGGCATGACAACTTTTTTTTTTATTACTGTCGTCATTAGAACATGAACATTAAAGCCAGCTCTTGTTTTATGGAGCTCTCTGCAAACTGTGCTAATGAATTATGCCAACCCAGAAAGCAGGCGTGTGTGTAAAATGTAAAACTAAATGATGTTCTCTCTGGCATATATAGACTTGCCAAGCATCTGTTCTCACCAACAAATAAGAGACCCCATTTGAAGCATGGCAGGGGACCAGCTCAGAGCAGCGCTAATCCAGCACTGATATTTAAGGTGACTTCGTAGACTCCTTTCCCCATCTCAANGTGTTCTCATCTTGGTCACTCATAAAGATGCCAACCCATAGCAATGACTGAGTCTTCCCAGCATGCCTGTCTCTGGAAGGCCACTGATTCAGTCACCAGTACAAAGCTGTCGGCTATCACTAACTCCATGTCCTTCGCCTTGTCCTTGAGGGTATCCGCCATGTACCAGGCACCCCATGCTAGGCATGGAGGACATCAGTATAAATAAAAGATGGGTTGGCCCCCCACAGAGCCACAATATAGCAAAGAGACGAATAGTGAAACAGAGAGATAATCCCTGCACAGAAACCACAAAAGGGTACCCAGCTTTCATTCCACAGTCTCCTATTTAATTTCTCTAAATACTCTAAAATGGAAGGAAACCAGAGAAACACATTTCAAGTACATTTACAAGGTTGTCGTTACTTATGAGAAACTTCATCTTTCGTACCCTCAAGGTCTATCATGGCTCTTGACTTCCACCTCCCATTTTTTTCAAGAGGTATTTGTTATTTTTGCTAATTTGGTGGTATTTTATTTGCAGGCAAAATTACTTGTTCAAAAGTCACTGCCATTTCAGTGTCTGCTCCCCAGGAGTTTTTAAAATTCATTTGGAGTCTTTGATCTTATTACTTGACCATGAGTATAGTAACATTAAAGTTATAGTCAACCTTGAAATGTGTTTACAGAATCAATTCAGATATCCATAGACATCCCATTACTGCGTGTCCCCAGGCTGGTGGGGAGGGCTACAATCCCAGTAGCAGCCCAAACCTCTGCTTTGCACGTTCCCTCAGACCCAGGGACTCTGTTTTCTTTTAAACATTGTTAATAGTCTCTTTGATTTTTATTGGTCACAAAGGTTATGTTTGCCTTCCCAATGATCTCATTCTCGTCCAGTAGTGCCATAATAAATGGGAATAAGCATCAAAAAAGGTGAACTCACTGAACCCACAGGCATGTACTTGACCTCCCTAAAAATTTCATAGGTCCTCTTTTCTCCCTGTTTGATACCTTTTTAGAAAAAATGCTAGCATTGGCTTGCTTGGTTTTTCGAGCTGTCAACCAAAATGTCCCTTTCTGTTAGTTCCGATAACCAAGGAATTGATGGTATAAAGTTGCTCAGTGTGGTCAGCCTCTTCATAAACAGTTCAGCTGCTGAAAGGTTACCTTGCCAGCATCTGATAATCTCTGGATCCTGATATCTTAGAGAAAGCTCAGAAATGCACTCAAGGAGGTATCAGGAACAAAGCCAGATCTTGTCCTGCTGTGAAGCTTCCCAACTTGTCACCCGCTAAACTTCCTATTATTTTTTGTCACTCAAAGACCACGTAATTTGAAAGCCTCTGTCTACCAATTTCCATGTACAAGAGGAAGCTGTCTTTCCTCGTTTTTAATTAATGAAGCACATATTTCCAATCAGAGCTTCAGAACCGCATGAGAGAGCTAGTAGTACCTACGTTAATGTAATTCTATCTAAAAGCTAACAACCAAACACGTAGATCCATGGCCGAGCCTTGTTATGAGTCACACTAGTTGTATGTACTGAACCCAGCTCACAGACCCATGTTACTACTTTCAGGGAGTCCTGGTCAGGGACCCCTGCACAAAATGTTCAGACTCACAATCTTGCAAAAACCTTTTCGAGTTGCAGATTTCATCTTTTGTTGCCTCACAAGTGAAACAAGTCCATTTTCTTGGTCATTGAGGTGTTCCCCAGCCTGGCTTTTCTGCCCAGAAAATGCCGTTTTCGTAAAGAGCTGTCATGCTGCGTGTCCTTTGGCATATGATTTAGCTGCTCAGGGAAAGTCCCGGCTGCTCCTGCTCTCTCAGTGCTGGTAATATGTGTTTTTGTTTTATTAAATCTTTAAAACACTGGGCTTGTTGTTTATGACCCCTATATATTCCTTTGTTCTTTTCCAGGACTGTTTCGATCCCATATTTTTTCTCCTTTTGTAAAAATATCAGTGCCTTTCTAAAGGACATTATGGTCTCCAGAATGGCTGCCTAATACAATGGAGGAATGTGAAGAGCTCAGTGTTACTTAACATCCGTCAGGGCTGTGACTCAGGGCTGCTTTGTTGATGGGAAGCTTTGAGGCGTCTCAGACCTGGTCCCCAGAATTGCAGATCTTTCTGCTCTTCCCAGACTTGTTTTGACAAACTTGAGACCATGTGAGAATAATCACAGAGCTTTTTGTAAAATAAAGATACCAAATATCTATGTTCCAGTTGCAGACAATTGTTTGTGATTAAAAGGTGACTCAGGAACCCTCGGTGAAATGGAAGCAAGTTCTTCTTGAGGTGTGAGCGGCAACTGGTGTGCATTTCAGTGCTAGAGCCCACACAATCGGTACCGACGTAACCTGATCCTTCTGACCTTACAGGAAAGCTCCTCAGAGATACTGAAAAGAGAAGAGTATCTGCTGCCATCCCTGAATTCAGGAAAATGTCACAGGGCCTGGTGCTCCACGGCGTCTCATCCATGCACAGCCCCTGTGTCCCCTAGAGCAAGTTGAGCTGATGAGTTGCCATCTCGTGACTTTGTCCTTGCATGAAGGGGATGCAAAAAGTTTTCATTAATCTTGCATCCAACTTGGCTACCTTACTGATGTGAATCCCCGAATAAACCACTCATTGACACCCAGTTGAACTTGTTCCTGTGCATACAGTATCTCGCAGCCCATCCTGTACTGTTAGTTTTGGCAAATACACTACAGCATATCATAAATCATGGAAGAAAAAAAGCTTTGTGGCCTAGCGTGGTTCAGCCTGCTGTAATGTCAGAATACAGAAAGCAGTTCTGTTTTTAGACATCCTTTTACTAACCCAACATTCATAATTTATGATTTCACTGTAAAATTCCTGCAACACGACACCAAAAGTAGTGCTGCCCTTTAATTAAGTACTCTCAGTAGGAAAAACGTGAAACTGATGTGCAAAACATCTCTGTGTGCACAGTGATTGATAGTGATTACATCTTTATGAACCCAGCCTAGAGGTCTCAACTTCCTGATGGGTGCAGTCAACTATGGGGCAACTTCCTGAGTCTGCTGCTAACCAAATTGGAGACAATTCAGAGGCCCAATTTAGAAATATTGAGGTTTTAAGACTGCATCTGCCTATACTTTGTCACAGGTCTATGGGACATTATTCCTTGTTTTCATGATGAGAATCTACAACCAAACTTCATGTAGTGTTTGTACTTAGAGTGGTTGTAATGCAGAGAATGAAGGGTCAGGGAGAATGTCTCTAGGAGGGATCTTCATTGTCCTATGGATTTTTTTTTTTTTAAGACGGGAAGAATGGGTGACAGAAGGGACTTCTGACCCTATTGGTACACGAACAGAATATAGCCCGAAGAGGACCCTGAGCTGTTCCATTTTTTTTAAATTTTTTATTATTATTAGTTTCAGTTGTACAGAACAATGCAATAATTATCCTTTTTACCCCTCACAAAGTGACAACCCCTCGCCCCCATCCACTGCCCTCCCACCCCCGATATCATACTTATCTATTACAATTCCATTGACTCCATTCCTACTCTCTACTCCACATCCCATAACTATATGAATATATAATTATAGGTGACATATAATATTATTCAACATGAGCTTCAGAAATACAGTGCGGTGGTCAGGCCTCTACACCGTCTATGAAGTGGTCTCCCTAACAAGACAAGAGTCCATCTGGCCCCCTAAAAAATATTTACAACATTATTCCCTATGATCCCCAGACCATCTTTTCTATCCCGAGGCCATATTGTAGTTACCAATTTGTATTGTCATTTTTAAAATTATTTTTCAAACATTCTTCCTTTTCCTCAGTTGAAAGTGGCTGAGTTTTGTTTTTAAAAGAGTACTTCTAATGTCTGGAGACTAAAATCCCAAGCCTGGTGCTTCCCCCAGCTCATCACTGTTTCATCCCTGGTTTTATTTTCCATCAGCTAAACAGTCACATCAGCCCAAGCTCCTAACACTTTACGGTAAGATAATTAGGGTGGTGTCTATATCTGAAATACTTCAGGTTCCTGGAAAGAAAGGTAATAAATCTGCCCACGACAGTAAGTAATACTTGTATTAAATACGCTCTTTGGTATAAGTTCAGCTACTTTCAGTCATAATTACAACCAGCAAAATAAAAATGTTGTGCAATAACGTCCTTTAATCATCTTATCGGTGCTTCCAAGATTACCTTTTTTGGAACAATGTTGATCCGATATGTGCATGTTATTTTCTGTTGTTTTTTGCAGATTTGGTCCAGGCCTCGTCATCTATTGGTATGGATTTATCCAGGAGCTGGACTGTAACCGGGAGAGGGGCATCCTGCTCAAAGCCTGCTTCCCCACAGACATCGTCACCTTATGCCATAGCGTGGCTTGACCCTGATGATCCTGGAAGAGACGCTGGGAGGAAAAGGTGAATCCGGAAGCAATTTTACTTTCCTGCAGCGTCAACTCCTGGCAACATCTGCCCTGAACTCCAGCTGAACTCTTGCTGCCCGTGGTCACACCACTACCTCTTTAGACAAACATATCAAGAGTTTCTGTTTTCCTTCATCCTTGCTGATGTGAACAGCCAAGAACTACAGACACAACCCACTCATTATCAGCATTTCTGTCTCTGTCAAACAGTTAGTTTATAGATAGTCATAATCTTTCTTCCTTCCGGATGGTTTCTCCTTGAATACTGAACAAAAGAAAAAATGTGGAGACTGAAAGGTGTGATTTTTCAATTCTCCTCCCAGTTACCGAATCACCCTCTTATTATTATTTTTTTCCTAAGCCTCCATTCATTTTTCTCTCCCTCCCCCTTTCCCTTTATGGACACTCACAGATACCCAGCGTTGCATTACCGTCATGCAATCATCTAGCACCATCCCAGCAAAGCTGAAGACATAAAGCCTAAGACGAAATTTCCCCCCTCACCTGCAGGGCTCCAGTAACCCTTAGGTGTAGCCGGTGCGTGTTTTGACCAGTCTTTATGGTTTCCTGACTTCGATGGCATCAAGCCAAGCTGAAAAATATACTTGATGAGAATTTCCTCTTTTTATACTTATTTGAACACCAAACCTTTTCCATTTATCTCATTTGAAAGTATTAGTTAACATTGTGCCTGGAAAGCACACTCCTTCATTGGATTGGGGAGCTGAGGGGAGATGATTGAAGCTCGGTGCCAGCTTTGACAATACTTTATTTTTAAACATGGCTAGTTGTCAGTATGTTTGATAGTATTTTTATGAGTAAAATTTTTTAAAGCACATTCTGTACTCTGCTTTTTATCTGCGTTTTTATACCACATAATTATATCACACTCAAATAATGTAGGCATTCGAAATGTTCAGCTTTGAATGAATGAAGTGTACCGGAAATAAACCTAGGGCAATTTTCAATAAGCAAAATAAAGGAGAGTTTGTATTTGTTCACTTTCATTTATTCACTTTTTATGCTGCAAATCAAATTTCAATCTGAAGCAAAACATCAATAAATTCATTATAAACCTATCTTTGGGAAAGTTAAAGATTAATCTATATTCAAAAATGTATTTAGTAAAATAGTTGCCCTCCCCCCCAGCCCCGTATTGACAAAACATCATGACTTTTATAATGTTGAACTGGTGAACTTGGAAATGTTAATAAAAAATGTACATTTTTATAAACACATGTAAGTTATGTATACATTGCTCAATTCTTTCAAAAGACTAAATATGCCATTAGTACTTTGTTCATTTTGTACCTAAGAAGGTTTGCAAAAGTCTGCCTCTTGCTTTTCGTTTTGAAGGAGACAAGCATGTCAGGTCTGAACATGTGGATTTTGACTCTGCTGAGGGTTGCATTAAACAAAAGAGAGAGAGAGAGGGAGAGAGAGAGAGAGAGAGAGAGAGAGAGAGAGAGAGAGAGAATTAAATGATAAGGTGGTATCAGACAAACTTCTGTTTCAGTGTAAAATGCATCATGCAGCTTTTGTGAGTGAAACAGAATGATTTGAAACCACTGCTCTTGTCTGCATCCACACACACAAACACACAGACACACGCCTTACACAAAACTGTTATTGAAAGCAGTTTTCATGGCATGCTCTAAACTGCTTTTTCTTCTTTAGGAATAAATTACATTTATCTGCACAGATGTTGAAAACTGTTAGACCCTTGTCAAGGATTTGTTTGTTTTACATTAAACAAATTTATGATGCATGTGCACAGATAAATTAAAAAATAAAAAGAGG